GCGATCATTCGTTCTATGCATCTATGAGTTTGTTTCTGTTTTGTATGTTCATTTATTTTGGTTTTTAGATTTACACACACACACACACACACACACACACACACACACGTGAAATTATATAGTTTTTGTCTTTTTCTTTGTGACTTATTTTTCTTAGCATAATATCCTCTAAGTCCATCCAACCTCTTTTTTATTTTTTAAAAAGTTATAAAAATATATGCTACCTGTAAAGATTTCATACCCACTTTCCACTGTTTAGTAAATTAAAATTTTAAATTGATTTTTTCTCTCAATAGATTATTCACATTTTTAAATATTTTAAAATTATCAAACATTATACAGTGAAGACACCTTACTCTCGTTCCCCCACTACTCAGTTCCTCTTCTTGGAGGCAATTAATATTGTCAGATTTTTAAAAAAATATATTTTACTGATTTTTTTACAGAGAGGAAGGGAGAGGGATAGAGAGTTAGAAACATCGATGAGAGAGAAACATCGATCAGCTGCCTCCTGCACACCTCCTACTGGGGATGTGCCTGCAACCAAGGTACATGCCCTTGACTGGAATCGAACCTGGGACCTTTCAGTCCGCAGGCCGACGCTCTATCCACTGAGCCAAACCGGTTAGGGCATATTGTCAGATTTTTGTGTACTTTTTAAGACATACTTTGTGCATTTTTGAGCAAATGTATCTGTGTGCTTTTTGGGTGTGTGTCTCTTTTCAAGCCACAGATGTTAAGTATGCGGCACATACTTTTTTGCACATATATTCTTAGATAACTTTATTTGTATTTTAACTTTTAAAAAGTAGATAACTATATGCTCATGGTTCAATAATAAAATAATGAAAGGCTTGAATAGTACCCCTTCTATCCTAGTTCCCTGCCTGCTGTGCACACCCTTCAATGAATCTTTATGCATTATAGAAGCAAGTCAGATGGCGTATGCTTTGTTTCCTTTTCCTCCTGTAAGTCGCAGACTAACCTTTGACATCTAAGAAGGCGGTATAGACTCGGTGTTAGGAGTAGTGACTCCTTACATTCAGATGTCTGCTCTGCCACGTATCAACTGTGTGATTGTGGACAAGGTATTTTTTTTAATTATTGATAAAGGTATTACATATGTGTCCTTATCGCCTTATTACCCCTCCACCTCCTACTCATGCGTGGGCAAGGTATTTAACCTGTCTGTACTTTGTACACTTCTTACGAAGATGGTAAGGCAGTATATATACTTTGCTTAGAATAGTACTGTAAATAAGAAGTATATGTGTTTGCTAGTAGTAGTATTTTTATTATTAAGGACAGTGACTAATAAAATAATCAACAACCAGTATAATTTGATTTCTAGTAGTGATATATGGATATGGGTAAATTTATTTAACAGAAAAGGATGGATGGGATTCATCACTTGCTTGAATTCTACTTAAATACATTTTAGAAAACTTCAGGAAACAAAACTAAAGCAGCTAAAAAATATTAATGTTCCTTTTTATGGAGTGATAGTTTTTGTATATACTTGTTTAAACTAAACAGATATACTCTCTTTATGACATGAAAAAGTCCCAGAGAAGGTGAGGGTAGAGATGGCTGCTAAGAATATAAACTTTTGCATAGTGCATCACATTTTAAAAGTGCTTTCTTATGCTTTTTCCACTCAAATTTGGTGAAAACAGATACATATCTACATATATTTAATTTTACGTGATATTGGTCCATAAAGTTTTTAAATTTCCTAGCTTTATCTTTTTAGCATCAAATCGTTAGAACATTAAATGCTCTTAAGGCAAGCAGTAGATTGGAGGAGTAAATTGTATTTCTATTTAATTTGTTCATCCTCAGTTCTTTTTTTTTTAAACATATTTTTTTATTGATTTCAGAGATGAAGGGAGATGGAGAGAGAGGTAGAAACATCAGTGATGAGCAAGAATCATTGATTGGCTGCCTCATGCATGCACCCCACTGGAGATGGAGCCTGCAGTCTGGGCATGTGCCCCAACATGGAATCGAACTGGTTCATAGGTTGATGCTCAACCACTGAGCTGCGTTAGCTGGGCAGTTCTTTTTTTTTTTTTTTTTAATTAAAAAAATCAAAGGAACAACCAAACCTCTCTTCCCCTTTCTCTTCTTCAGATCCCTATTACAAAATAATGTACACTTATTATAGAAAATGTAAAAACAGAACATACACAGAGAAGTAAGAATCACCTTAATTTCATTACTCAGCTTAATATTCTGATAACAGTTTGATGTCTAGACAGCTTGCCTTTTTTTTCCTCTGTGGGGATATGCACACATAGTCACTCTTGTTACTAACTTGCCTTTTATTTGTTGTTAAATATATTTTTATTGATTTCAGAGATGGGGGGAGAGAGAGAGAGAGAGAGAAACATCAGTGATGGGAATCATTGATCAACTGTCTCCTGCAAGTCCCTATTGGGGGTTGAGCCTGCAATCCCGGGCATGTGCCCTTGACGGGAATTGAACCCGGGGTCCTTCAGCCCACAGGCCAATGCTCTATCCATTGAGCCAAACCAGCTAGAGGCAGTAATTTGCCTTTTTTTCTGTCTGTGGGGATATGCACACACAGTCACTTGTGTTAGTAACTTGTTTGCCTTTTACAGTGATGTCATCAGGAATGCTATACACACAGATGTTTTTTATTTTTAAAATAAACTTTGTATCATGAACGTTTTAATGTCATTTAATTACCTATAGTATTTACGATAGGTGCATCATATTCCATTGAGCACATATGCCAAACTGAATTTTATTTTGTATGAAAATTCGTGCAAGAGTAGGCCTTCCTTCCCCCGGCTGCTGGCACTGGCTTCACTCCAGCACTCAGGACGTGGGCTGCTTCGCTCCAGCCCCGGCTTCTTCCGGAAGGATGTCCGGAATGACGCCCAGAAGGATATTTGGTCTAATTAGCATATTACCCTCTTATTATTATAGATGTATTTGTTGCCTATTCATGGGCATTTTGAAAATAAGCTGTATCGTAAATATCCTGTACACAACTGTTTTGAACATCCATTATTATTATTTTTTAAAATATATTTTTATTGATTTCAGAGAGGAAGGAAGAGGGAGAGAGAGATAGAAACATCCATGATGAGAGAGAATCATGGATCGGCTGCCTCCTGCAAGTCCCACTGGAGATTGAGCCCACAACCCTGGGCATGTGCCCTTGACCCGAATCGAACCTGGGACCTTTCACTTCGTAGGCCAACGCTCTATCCACTGAGCCAAACTGGCTAGGGCTATCCAATTTGGAATTACAGACTTACAGGATATATACTTTCTTCATGCTTTTGATACAGATTGCTAAACTATTCTCCAAATAGTTGGTATCTACCTATATGCTTGCCCGCATGAGGTGTTGTCTGTTGAGATGTGAATTACTCCTCTTCTGAATTAGTGCAAATTCACTTTCCATTGCCTCTAGAACCGTCTTTTTCTTCTCCACTTTCTGTTTTTCTATTCTTCTATATCCTTCCTCCTTCACACCTAAAACTTCATAGAAGCTGAATTTGACCCAGGTTGGAGAAGAAGCTGTTTCCAATGATCTTTTTTTTTTTTTTTTAAAATATATTTTTATTGATTTTTTGCAGAGAGGAAGGGAGAGGGATAGAGTTAGAAGTATCAATGAGAAAGAAACATCAACCAGCTGCCTCCTGCACATCCCTACTGGGGATGTGCCCGCAACCAAGGTACATGCCCTTGACTGGAATCGAACCTGGGACCCCTCAGTCTGCAGGCTGACGCTCTATCCACTGAGCCAAACCGTTTAGGGCTTTCCAATGATCTTTATCTCTCTCTTCACCAGCTTCTTAGTGTATTTTGCTGTAAAATATTCTGGGAACTCTCTTTGTAAAGCACCCAATTTTTCAAAGGTCATTTCTTTCAGTTTTACAGATCTTCATTTTCACGTTTGTTAATGTCTTACATTTGTGAGGTGACCTCATGTTCTAGCCTGGTGGTGAAGAGAACTGTCCCTGGGACCCTGTGGACCAGGTTCAGATCCCAGCTTGTTCTTTTTTTAAAAAAATATATTTTATTGATTTTTTTTACAGAGAGGAAGGGCGAGAGGGATAGAGAGTTAGAAACATCAATGGGAGAGAAACATCCATCAGCTGCCTCCTGCACACCTCCTACTGGGGATGTCCCCGCAACCAAGGTACATGCCCTCGACCGGAATCAAACCTGGGACCCTTCAGTCCGCAGGCCGATGCTCTATCCACTGAGCCAAACCGGTTAGGGCTCCCAGCTTGTTCTTGTTGACTAGCTTTGGAATCTAGGACATGTTATTGACCCTGTCCAGTCCTCCTCATTTTTCGCTAGTGGAGATCATGATAATACTTTCCTTGGTATTTTGTTAGGATTTTAAGAGGTGATGCTTACAATTGCTCAGTACGTTGCTAACATTTAGTAATTACTCAGTAGGGCATCTTTTGTTAGCATCTCATCTGACGTGTGCGAATGAAGCAGGGATTGTTTTTGTCCTTCTGCATCTGAGTGAATGGGTTCAGGAAGAGGGAATACTTTTCCTGTCATCACACCAGAAAGTGATGTTGTCCAAACCTGAATTTAGGACTTTTGTCTTAAGGACTACTGCCAAGTGGGAGAACTAAGGTGGAGGACAGGAATTGTGCCTAATAATTAGGATAACATAGGAACAGCATGAAAAGTCTAAAAAGCTTTTTATACGGGGCTTGAGAGGTGCAGCTCCAAGAAGCCTTGACTAGACTCAGCACGTTGGCTCGAGGATGACAGGAGCTCCGGGAGCAGAGGAGTGGTTCCTGTGCATCTCGGCTGGAGAGAGGCTGCTGTGTATCCTTTAGGCTCCCAGACACAAAGGCCAAAGAGTCTTGAAAAAAGTTTAGAGCACCAAGATCAAAACATTTAATAGATTTTTCTACTTTGGTTCAAATTAGAATGGAATCTTGCTTTAAATATATATGACTGATTAGGTTTTTATCTTAACTTGTTTCCGACAGGGCATGGTGCTGATGTGAAATGTGTAGACTGGCATCCAACAAAAGGGTTAGTTGTTTCAGGAAGTAAAGATAGTCAACAGCCAATCAAGTTCTGGGATCCCAAGACTGGGCAGAGTCTTGCAACACTGTAAGTGATAGGACCCCCACCTTGGTCCCCGAACAAAGGGAACAAAGCTGCCTGTATTCTTTTAACTTTTAGCTTTCTCTCCTCTCGTGTATTTTTGAAAAAGTAGGTTAGAAAACAGATGGATTTGTATCCATAGCTGTCTTATTAATTAAATATGATTTATGTCTGAATTCCTAATGAAATACGGCTTGATTTATGCTCTGCCACAGCTATCTAAATTTAATTTGGGTATCACGGGAGTGGAAGGTGAGGAAGAGATTGCGAAGGAGGTGGTTATTACTATTCTGACTTACTGTCTCTCCTCGTTATAATGCACTTGGCACTGTGTGGAGTTGATGTGTATGCCCCTCACTAGACATACAGCCCAGCTTTCTCCATCCCACTATGTCTATTTATAGAGAAGCTTTTCCTCTATTTTTGAATCAGTTCTCAATTTTTTTGTCTGAGATGCGTACTTATGATGCAGCTACATAATAAATTTTTTTCTGAATTATCTGTAAACATGCACAGTGATATGAATATGTTGTTAACATTGTTTTGACCAAGCAGCTGTGTCCCGGTCCTCGTGATTGGGAGTGAGCTGGTTGGAGCAGGCTGCTGTGGCGCACACCTCCACTGGCCGCAGTCCACCCGCGTGTTTGGCAGTGGTGCTCTGTGGAGATGTGCACTGTGCAGGCCTCGGCTTGTGGCAGTGTCTTGAGTTCAAATTAACCCTCACACTATCCCATGCTCTTTTTTTATGCTTTGTCTTAATGAGAGGAGGTTCATTGAAGTTAAAAAATTTAATGAGCTTTATTGAATAGTAATTTATATGTTCCAATGCTTCCCCTGATTCAAAGATAAACTTTTATATCCATTTGAAGCTCTGCTGCTATTTTAACTGGTTAAGGAAAGCAATGCTTAGATACTGGACATTATTTCTGTCATTGACCTATTTTATTTCAAATGTACTTTTAACTGTGGTCCTATAATGCTGTTTCTTCATGCTTTATTGCTTCTAGGCTAAACCTCTTGCCATCTTGACCCATGTGCTTTTCAACAGAAATGGCCATTATATGGATTTAGATTTGTTTTTAATTCTTACATTATTTTCTTGGTACTTTGTTTCTAGTCATGCCCATAAAAACACAGTGATGGAAGTAAAATTAAATCTCAATGGCAATTGGCTACTCACAGCATCACGTGACCATCTCTGTAAACTTTTTGATATCAGAAACCTGAAAGAAGAGCTTCAAGTCTTCCGAGGTCATAAGAAAGAAGCCACAGGTCAGTGGCTTTTAGAGACACTTCTCCTGACTTGCCTATGGTGTTCTGAGGTCCTAATAATTTTGCCTTTCCCTGTGTTTTTGTTTTACAGCTGTGGCCTGGCATCCTGTTCATGAAGGACTTTTTGCCAGTGGAGGGTCCGATGGCTCTTTGCTCTTCTGGCATGTTGGGTATGTAACACTTATTATAAAGAAGTTGCCTATTGTTTGAAGAGAGCACCTGAAAGTGTAAAACATGACACCGTTTGTATGTTCTCTTGAGTGTTCATATGTTCTGTGTCAGAGACTTCCTGCAGCTTTCCATTCTGGAAACCCAGCTTGGACTAGAAAACTTAGCACATTTATTTTTGGATGTAGAAGTCATTAAGAGCAAATAAAATAGATTTTCTTGTTTCTTATTGGTAAATCATTTTTGAAGCATTTTCCCTAGCTGGTGTGGCTCAGTGGTTGAGTGTTGACCTATGAACCAGGAGGTCATTTTCGATTCTCCGTCAGGGCACATGCCTAGGTTGTGGGCTTGATCCCCAGTAGGAGGTGTGCAGGAGGCAGGAAATCAATGAAACATCATTGATGTTTCTCTCTCTCTCTCTCTCTCCCCCACTCTGAAATCAATAAAAACATATTTTAAAAAAATATGTTACTGATGACAAATCAGCGCCCTTATATCATGTGAAATTGACAGATTAAAAGTAATAGGCTTTGGTAGCTATATGTTACACTAAAATAAAATGTTTCTATATATGTATATATATATATGTGTATATATATATAATTTTTATATATATATAAAAGTTATATGTATATATAACTTTTGTGAAAAAGACTTCTTTCTGTGGTGCTATTGTAGGGTAGAGAAGGAAGTGGGCGGGATGGAGATGGCCCACGAAGGAATGATCTGGAGTCTGGCGTGGCATCCTCTTGGACATATCCTCTGCTCAGGCTCAAATGACCATACCAGGTAAGCTTTCTGTGAAAAAAGTAACAAGGGGTTACTGTGTTCATGGGGCAGGTGGAAATAAGTATGTACATTTTTTATTGATAGATTGGTATATTAATTTGTATTATATCTTGTTCTTAGGAACATTTTTGTGGTGTTTTATAAGTACATATGTTATGAGAAGGAGATTGAGTATTGAATATGACTTTGGTATTCAAATTTTGTTTTGCCTTCTGATTAAAAAACGTCTTTCTGCATTTTAAATTTTTAGAAGAAAAGCATTGTGAAATTGTGTTTACCAGAGGACTGGCTTGTACTCTTAAGTGCCCAGAAATATGCTGAGCTCATGCTCCTTGCCTTTCCCATCCATCACTTTTATTTTGCAGCAAATTCTGGACCCGAAACCGACCAGGTGATAAAATGCGTGATCGCTATAATCTAAACCTATTACCAGGAATGTCAGAAGATGGAGTAGAATATGGTGAGGCTCCGCACATTTATCCTTCTTTGAAATGAGATAGTCTGTTATAAAAGTGTTAGGTATTGAGAAGATTTTACAAAATGAATTTTAGTTTTATAGTTTATTGATTTGTAAACCACCGATGATAAGTTTCATTTTTATAAAAGTTCTAATTTTATTGGACCACTACATTTATAAAATCTCTATTGTGGATGTATTCCTATTTATAGATGACCTTGAACCTAATAGCCTGGCAGTAATACCAGGGATGGGAATACCAGAACAACTTAAATTAGCCATGGAACAAGAGCAGATGGGTAAGAGAAATTATACCTATCAATTCTATTTTTATAAAATTTTTATAGGTCTGTTTCTTATCTTTATGGTATTAAGTTATTTTGATAATGCCATTTTTTTAAAAGAAATGTTTATATAAGTAATGTAAACTGCATAACATTTAATCTATTCTTCCAAAAATGTGTTCATTGATGAAGTGGACACTTTCTTTTATTTCCTTGACTAATTACTTATCTTTATGATTACAGGGAAAGATGAGTCAAATGAAATTGAAATGACAATTCCAGGTTTAGATTGGGGAATGGAGGAAGTGATGCAAAAGGATCAGAAAAAAGTACCTCAGAAGAAAGTTCCTTATGCAAAACCTATCCCTGCTCAGTTCCAGCAGGTGAGTGGCCCATCTCGTTCATGCATTGGTGGTGCTGCTCAGTGAGTGTGATTGAAGTTTAGAAACAGGGTTCTCTGCATCCTCTCATTGTTGGCGATATTTCTGTGCTGTTGACCTTTAGAGCATTTTTCACATATTTCAGGCATTCTTAGACGTAGTTCCCATCTGCTGCTTTGCATTTAGTGCTGTGTTTGTCATGAGTCTTTTCCAGATCTTTTATTATTCTCACCTCCTTATTATCATCGATGCTATTGGAGGAAGGAAGAAAAAGAGGCCGGAGCACAGAGAGTGCATCAACTCTCTTCTGCATTGCCTGTCTTCTGCTTTATTGGTTCCCTCAGCACAAGGTGGGGGCGGGGGAGGGTGGAGTCCTTTGGAAGAGGCAGGTGAGCTTCACATTCTTAATAACATGCCAGATCTAACAGCTTTTAGTAATTTAGTGATTGCTACCTAGTCATGTGCTTGCCAAATCCCACTCATGTGTCACTAAGAACTAGCATCAGAAATAAAGACAGTGCACCAGGTGCGCCACCTTGTATTCAGAAAGTTGTAATGAGCCAATGAATGACATGATAGAATGGTTTTTCTCATTCTGCCATTGTAAATCACACACTTAGGGCATATTTTAATATTCTCTTCTTTCCCAAGGCTTGGATGCAAAATAAAGTTCCAATTCCTGCCCCAAACGAGGTACTGAATGACAGAAAAGAGGACATTAAATTGGAAGAGAAGAAAAAGACGCAAGCAGAAATTGAGCAAGAAATGGCCACATTACAGTATACTAACCCACAGCTTCTAGAGGTAAGCTCTTTGGGGGATTCCAGATGCTCTAAAAAGTAGGGCTGACATTATTGATATGCTCCTAAGGAGAAGGGACGGGCCTCTCAGAGGGTCTGATAAGCACCACCCCTTCTTCCTCTACGGGAGGAGCTAGTTTCTAACTAGAGCAGTCAAGCAGTGAGTAGACCTAAGTTAAATATACACTTTAGTAGAAAAGAGAAAGCCAACAAGTTTAAATTTAAATTCACTTATTTATCCCCAGATAAAATAATTTTTCTTTTTCTGTCGGCTCTAAAGCAGGTGGTTTGTTCTTAGTTTTCCTACCTTGACAGCTACCAAGAATAACAAAAAACTGGTAAATTTTTGGGCTTTTCCTGGTCAAGATGGATGTACATAATCTTGACTGTTGTTTCCCAGTACCTAAGAAGAGTTAGTCTAGAGCAGTGGTTCTCAACATTCCTAATGCCGAGACCCTTTAATACAGTTCCTCATGTTGTGGTGACCCCAACCATAAAATTATTTTTGTTGCTACTTCATAACTGTAATTTTGCTACTGTTATGAATTGTAATGTAAATATCTGATATGTAGGATGTATTTTCATTGTTACAAATTGAACATAATTAAAGCATAGTGATTAATCACAAAAACAATATGTAATTATATTTGTGTTTTCCGATGGTCTTAGGTGACCCCTGTGAAAGGGTCATTCGACTTCCAAAGGGGTCACGACCCACAGGTTGAGAACCACTGGTCTAGAGTGAGTCTGGAGGCCTGAGCGCCATCTGTATGTCTGAATGTTATATGGACTCTAGTTACTGCTGGGGCTTTAAGAGGTTGATGCCTCGTGTTTGTTTTGAGGTTCCCCAATGAAATAAGTGACAGCCACATTGTCATCTTCTGGCTTACTTTTCAGTATGCTTTTTCTTTTTTTCTTTCCAGCAACTTAAAATTGAAAGGCTTGCACAAAAACAGGCTGAGCAAATTCAGCCTCCTCCTGCATCTGGTACCCCTCTTCTTGGACCCCAGCCCTTTCCAGGACAAGGTCCAATGTCTCAGATTCCTCAAGGTTTTCAACAGCCCCATTCATCTCAGCAGATGCCAATGAACATGGCTCAAATGGGGCCTCCAGGTCCACAGGGACAGTTCAGACCCCCTGGACCCCAGGGACAAATGGGACCACAAGGTCCTCCATTGCATCAGGGAGGTGGAGGGCCACAAGGATTCATGGGACCACAAGGGCCCCAGGGCCCACCCCAAGGGTTGCCGAGGCCTCAGGACATACATGGCCCCCAAGGAATGCAAAGACATCCTGGACCTCATGGCCCTTTGGGACTTCAAGGACCACCTGGGCCACAGGGTAATTCTGGTCCTCAAGGTCATATGGGTCCTCAAAGCCTACCTGGCCCACAAGGTCACATCGGCCCCCAAGGCCCACCTGGTCCCCAGGGGCATATGGGCCCTCAGGGGCCTCCAGGTACTCAAGGTATGCAGGGGCCACCTGGTCCCAGAGGAATGCAAGGACCTCCTCATCCTCATGGAATACAAGGCGGGCCCGGGTCTCAGGGGATCCAAGGTCCCGTGTCTCAGGGACCTCTGATGGGACTGAATCCAAGAGGAATGCAGGGTCCTCCAGGCCCTCGAGAGAATCAGGGTCCTACTCCCCAAGGCATGATGATGGGCCACCCACCTCAAGAGATGAGACCTCACCCTCCAAGTGGACTACTGGGACATGGCCCTCAGGAGATGCGAGGCCCTCAGGAGATGCGAGGCCCTCAGGAGATGCGCGCCATGCAGGGGCCTCCACCTCAAGGGTCGATGCTGGGCCCTCCCCAGGAGTTGCGAGGGCCACCAGGCTCACAAGGACAGCAGGGGCCGCCCCAGGGCTCTCTGGGGCCTCCACCCCAGGGTGGCATGCAGGGGCCCCCTGGGCCTCAGGGACAGCAGAACCCTGCCCGCGGGCCACATCCATCTCAAGGGCAAATGCCATTCCAGCAGCAGAAAACAGCTCTACTGGGCGATGGGCCCCGGGCCCCCTTCAATCAGGTATTCTTTCTTTCCAACTGTGGGCATTACCCTTTGGGAAGATGCAGTGCACGGATGCGGCACAGCTGACAGGAATGCCTCTCAGGTGGTGATAACGGCCTGAGAAGAGCATCACAGCTGAAGTGGGAGACAAGAAAATGAAATAGACCATCACATGTATTGCAATGTGAATCTTAACTTCTCAACTAGTATTTTAATAGATGTTCTTCCAGAAAAGATGGGATCTAGTTGATAATTGTTCCAGGCCTCCAAAAGAGCTGTGGCCTGGGGAGGAAGCTGGCGGACTGCCAGCCTGTTGTGCTCCCTTTTCTGGGTCCTTTGTAGCGTGGCCTGCCAGCTCTACCTTTTCAGATAGTTGTTTAAGGCCCCAGTAGACCTTAATTCTCAGGCCAGAATTACACGTTCTCGAATTCTGACCCTGTGGACGGAATTCTGTCCAAGTTGTTTTCAGCTTACAAGAATATTTGTGAGGGAATATTTCTATGGAATTTTTCTTGACCTTTTTTTTGACAGTTTGGCTTTTATTGGCCAAGTTATATTGCTCAGGTTGCTTGGGGAGACGTACAGAAGGACTGCATGAGCAGGGAAGGGTGAACACGCTGGCCTCTGGGGTGTGTGCTCCTGCACCTTTCAGAGGACGTGACTCCCTGGCCTCCATTCCCGTGGAAAGGCCATACTGTGGACACTGTGTAGAAAGCACTCTGTTAACGGCTCTGAGCATTTGTCATGTGAAGATGACCACTGGATTTTCAGAATTAAAAGAACTAGCTAAATAAGATTATGTGGTACTCTTCATTAGATCTTCCAGAACTGAAAAATTTTATAGCAGCGAAGAATCTGATGGTATTTGAGTTTACTTCCAGAGTTTATTGTGCACTTTTTAATAAGTTTTATTCTATCATGTACTAAAATATTTTATAAATGCAAAGCATAATGCTGTAAAGATTTAATTGACATATAGAAATATTGATGGAATGAATATTTGAAATAGGGTATTTCACATCTCAGAAGTTGGCCTGATGAAATCTTTGCTCATGTTTGTCACATACTGAAATACTTTCTTCACTTTGACCAGGCGAATTATTTAAACCAATTGTTTTAATTGGTTTAATTTACTGGAATTGCTGTCAGGTATTAACAGCATGAGTTGTTTGGGGATGAAACATACAAAAAACAAATATAGAAATTACTGGTGTTATTGTTATAGCTATAGTGGTGTCCTGCAGTGAGAGCTGCTCTTTCATGCCAGCTAGTTTGGAGTGTGAATACAATTTTGCTATTGATTTTTGAAACTGCTATTTTCATAGAAGGTGTGTGTGTTTGTCAACAGACCTGATCCAAGGTCACTGGACAGTGTGGGAAATCAGAATTTAGACATGGCTAGATAAAAATACCGAATATGAGGACTAGGGACAAATTTGGGGTCCAGAGCAAGGAGATTAAAAGCATCAGAGCAACGGGTTTGTATTAAGATAGAAGCTGCCAGAACCAAATGAATCCACAAGATCCCAGGTGACGGAGCAGGGAGTGAGCAGTAGGTAGAGATAGGGGGCATGTGAAAGGAGCAAGCTGGTGTGGACACCTCCCTTGGCAGGAGCCCAGCCCTTTCTGTTCTCCACTCCCCTGTTCACACCCAGCCCTGCTGCCTGCCGTTTTGTGGCTCGAAGAAGCTGTGGCACCCGAGAGGAGTGGCGCGTCCTGGAAGAGTGCCATCTCCCTGTTGCCAGGAGGTCCTCTGTGTGGGGTATTGTCATTACCTCATGATTTCTCGCTTTCCATTGATGTTCTTGTTTAGCTTAAGAAGTCAAGATCTAGCTTTAAATAAAACCTATCAGCAGGTTTAAAATAGGTGTGTTTCCTCTTATTATGGTAAAAGAAGTATCTCCCTGAATTTAAGGACAGTTTTGCTATGATCGCCACTAGCTATACATTTACTGCTGGAGGCTTTGGGGAAACCTAATGTTTTTCTCTTGTCACATTATAATACAATTGCTATTCACAAAGCACAAGCTGTGGTTTCACACTCCCTCTTTAAAAACATCTTTTCAGGAAGGACAGAGCACAGGCCCCCCACCCCTGATCCCAGGCCTAGGGCAGCAGGGAGCACAAGGTCGCATCCCCCCTCTTAATCCTGGACAAGGACCTGGCCCTAACAAAGGTAAATATCTGCTGGCGGGGTAAGAGGTTGTATTTCACCACCTTTGCGTCAACCTTACTGTTGATGCAAAAAAAAAAAAAATTTTTTTTTTTTTACAATGCATAGCTTTACTGGTAAGTGTTTGATAGAATGGTCACTTGAACCTCTAGGAAAAACAAGAGCACAGCCACTTCAGGTCACAGTTCTGTCTGATGATGCATTCACCCATGGCTTTGCTTCGTTAGCCAGAAACCTGCTCAGGCAGCGAGCTCCTCCGGAGCGGCCGGAGGCCTGTCCGCCTGCGGGGATGGGAGTGCTCTGTGCCTCCAGCGCAGGAGCAGCTGAGAGCTGAACTGGGTCATTTTAGATGTTTTGATGGGATAAAGAATTCCGAGATTTTAAGTGTTTTTAATATCATCCCCTTCTCCCTCCAAATTGTATCAAGTATTGGATTGTTTAGCTGGTTACATTATTCTGCGCCACTTGGAAAGAATAGGGCAGCGCACCGACCTGCCACGCCTCGGGTGGGTGATGCTGTGGAGAGCACAGAGGTGAGAATGCCAGTGTTTAGTGCAGTGATGGCGAACCTTTTGAGCTCGGCGTGCCAGCATTTTGAAAAACCCTAACTTAACTCTGGCGCCGTGTCACATTAAAATTTTTTGATCTTTGCAACCATAGTAAAACAAAGACTTATATTTTTGATATTTATTTTATATATTTAAATGCCATTTAACAAAGAAAAATCAACCAAAAAAATGAGTTCGCGTGTCACCTCTGATACGCGTGTCATAGGTTCGCCATCACTGGTTTAGTCAGATGTGGAGCTGTTTGGAAATTAGGTGTTAATCTTAGGAGTTGAAAGAGCACATGCTGGGAGCCAGAGTCCTTGTTCCCAAAGGGGTAAGCTCTTCTCCTGCGCCCGCAGGAAGAGCTGGAGCAGGGATGTAGAGGCTGCAGGCTGCTGGAGAGTTGAGGGGAGGGCTGGGAGGGAGTGGGGGGAAAGTAGGAGGTGCAGTGGTACATTCAGTGGGAGGACAAACCAGAGAGCCTGTGTACTGTGCAGGTGGCTTTTCAAAGAACTTCACTCCTTTTCCTTTTTTTTTTTTTAAATTGGCTAAGTCCACAGCATCCTGTGGTTCATGTTAGGGTTCTTGTGGTTTTATCAGATGAAGATAAGTCCTTGTCAGCATTTCCAGCCCTAGCACTTGGGGAATTTAAAGCTTGATTGAATGTATATGAGATATTAGAGGTAGGGATAAAGGAAGGAATACAAGAATTAGATGCTTATTTAATCCCATCCTATGGAGGGGTGGCCCAAGGGCAAGTAAGAGAAAGCAAGCATGAAGGACCATCTTTGGAATTTGGGGGCTGTAAGAAAGAAGAGTCTTTTATCCACAAGGTACAGCCGTCAGCAAGCTGAGAGCCTCCTCTCCCCCCCTCCCCGCCCTGTGTCTGTCTCCGCCTGTTTCCCTCCTTGTTCTTCCCCTCTTCTCTTTCTTTCCTCTTCTCTTTTCTCTTTCCTCCTTCCTCCTCTCTTTTTCCTCCCAGGGACAAAAGGGAGAAGGGAGAGCCGAAAAAGGGGCCCTGCCGTCCCCTACTGGACTAACCCGCGCTGCCGCCCCATCCCTGGGGGCCACGTCCCTTCTAACTGGTAGTGGTGGGTTTCTTTCCCTGGATAAACAGGGGACTTGTAGACAGAAAGAGTCATGGGAAGATTAGTCTTCATAGGTAAGTCCAAGTGGAATATGCTCAGCTCCTCGGGTCAGAGGTCACACCCAGTTCCAGCAGCAGAATGTCCGAGCGAAGACGTACGTCAGGGATACTGAGAGGTGGGGGCTGTCTTCCATTAGGAGACAGGTCTGGGGCATTTGCAAGCTGAACCAAGAGGCGGGTCGGAAGGGGCTTTCCTGAGCATGATGGAGAGGGCTGGTTTCATGGAGGGAAGGAGAGAATTCTTCAGATGCTGTATTTTCATATGGAAACTTCCAAGTTTTTTAAAACATGTTCGAATGGTGAGGAGGGATTGAAATGGACAGAAATGTAAGAGGAAGGACATTGGAAGGGTAGGAATTATGGCTTACTATGATGCCTGGAAACAAAATTCAGCTCATCTTTATTGCCAGGGTGCAGAATGAAAAGAATTTTATTTAAGGCCTTAGTTGTTTTAGAGGCAGGAGTGTCCCTTTGCTCTCCACTTTTCAGAAATGTCCCCTTAAGGTGTATGTTGACCGAAATAAGTGCTCGTTTAAAAT